TTGTACAACCGTACAAGATGCTACTTTTAACATGCATGGTCAACTGAATTGCGGGCACACCAACACCACAGCTTTCTTCAGTAGTCCAGTGGTCAGTGCACTGGGCTCCAATTTGGACAACCCAGGTTCTAGTCCTGGCTCAGGGGCAAGGTGTTGTGCCCTTGAGATGTGTGGGAAAAAAAAAATGCGAGCTCCGCTTTTAGGCTTGGCTAAATCTATATATCAAATAAGTTAGAAAGGTCAGTGCATGCATGGGGTAAAGCTATAAAATATTTTGAATAATACTTGAGAAATTAATGAAAGTTACAGCATGTAAAACTTTATTAAAATGCTAGTTTTCATACATTGTTAAAATTTTGGTTTGTAAACATATCTCTTCTCACTAAGGGTGGTCAAAAAATTCATTATATAAAATCAGATCTAGATGGAGTGTCACAAAAGTACAGTAAAGATATGAGATCAATTCATCATATTGGTCTTTGTTTAATACATCTGACTGCTTGAGGCAGGGGGGGTTAGTTCTCAAGACCAATCACAGAGCAACATCAGGTAAAGCCATGGGTAGTCAGTATAAATCTACTCAGTGAATGAATTATGACAAGTAATTCTTACTTCCGATAGCATTATCAATGGCCTCTTGAGCTTTCTGGATGCCAAGTTTGAACTCCTCCTGGTCTTGTCTCAGCTTATATCCACGGTGATAATACAAGAGAGCATACTCAAACTCTCCCTTGGAATAAAGTGCTTCTGCTTTCTGATAAAGGCCCTGTATATAAATCAATTCCCTTTGTTAGTAACTGAAATGTTGAACCTCCACAACAAACAAGTACCATTAGTAAGAAAATTACTCTACCATACTTACCTTTCAATAAAACATTGAGGAAGAATTCCTCAAAATAAGGATACTTGCCAAAATTTAATGCAAGAAAATTTCCAATCATTTTCTTTTTTCAGAGAGGGAATTTAAGACAGTGGCAGATCCAGACCTTGAGCTGGGGAGGGGGGAGGGCCAGCGGTTTTTCATCACTTGCCATACAGCTTTTCTTCCATCTGTGATTCTTGCCCCCTGGGTCCCTCCCCTAGATCCACCATTGTTAGAGCACATCCCTTGAGATCCCTATCCCTGTAACTCCCATCACTGAGATGAAAACCTTTTAACCCTTTAACCCCTAAGAGTGACTAGCATCTAATTTCTCCTTACAATGCCACCACTGAATCACTCATTAATGTCATGTTAATAAAGGAAATGATCACCAACTAAAGATACTCTTGATTGTTAGACAAATTCTTTTTGTTAGCACCTTGATGCTAGGGTGTAAAGGGTTAAAAACTATTTGTCAGGATGAAGTCGAGGGGATTATTCAACAGTATTCACTGAGCCTGAGGCAAATAATTATTTTAATATAATTGCTCAGGTGCTTTTGAATTCTGTAGCAAATTCATTATGTTATTCCAACCATTCTATAAATAAAGAAAACTTTGTATATCTTTTGTTACAATTTTTTTTAATTACTTGTATCAAGATGGGCAGCCAGTTTCGGATCAATATCAGTATCTGGGCAACTGCCCACCTACCCCTCCCTTAACTCAACAACAGTCAATTGATAACAAGTTAAAGTTAATGTTGGGTCAGGGGAGGGGTAGGTGAGTAGTTGCCCAGATACTGATATTGATCCCCAGTTTCTACCTGAATTTAACAATGTAAAATTTATATTTTATCTTTGAAAAGTGTTCTACCAAACTTAGTAGCAGCCTTTATGCTCTTTGGGATTAAATTTTACACTATCCTTGACCAATCAGATTGTGTATGTCTGAATAATCACCAGAACAATTATACTAAAAGTAAATACTTAAATATTCCTCACAGTTTCAATGCTTCATCTAATTAACAAGTTATAAGTCAGAATAATCAACTTATCAGTTACATGTAGAAGGTGTTACTGATGTAAAACCAAATTCTCTTGTCAAGTTAACCATGAAATGAGTCGTATCTAGAGAGGTGAATTACAAATCAGATCTAATGGTTTAAAGTGTTGACAGGCTTCCAAACCTTGTTATATTCTTTATCTTCTGCAAGTGATTCTTCTGCGTCTCTCAGTGCGGCATCAGCATTGCCTAACCTCAAGTAACACTTTGATCGCTGGACAAGACACACTTTGTAACCTGGCTGTAGCTCCAGGGCCTGTGAAAAGAAGATGTAAATAGATCATTGAATTTCATTTGAACATTCTAGGGTTGAGTCCCATAAAACCAATATTGAGGTAATTGTGTCAGCCAATCAGAACAAATCGCAGAGAACTCAGATGCTTGTGTGGGTCGGGACAATGCACATCATTTGTGGGCACATTAGATAAATATTTGGTATCTAAAATTTTTTCATGATCGTAAAAAACTGGTTCTAGTTGTACAAAGGGCTGAGATAACACCATCCAACAGATAAATTCACCATCCAGTGGATAACTTTTAACAAAACGTACTGCACTGTCAACCAGATTGAGATTCAATCCTGCTATTTATCAAACGCAACAAAGCAAGTTCAATTCCTAGTCATTAAATTTTGTCGATCTCATGTCGGAACAGAGAAAAGACTAACATCCTGTAACCGCTAATATTTTGAAAGGTCCAACCACAGTGGGAAGTCATGCAACGACAGCAACTTGGCTACAAAAGTACATCACGATACTTAAATAATCACATAGATAAACGGTAATTTTGTTTTATTATCTTTAATCTTGAACTAATGGCAAGACTTCAAGACTTCCAAAGCAAAGAAGTAGCATTTATAAGAGCTCTAATAAATCAGGATATTCTAGAGAATAGTAAGTGTTTTTGATCAAAGAATATTTCATTGAAATCGACCAAGTTATTCGAGTATACCTGAGTGTAACTATCCAGAGCCTTTTTGTATTCCCCCTGGTTAAAATGCACATTTCCTTCGGAAAGGTAAGTCGTGAAAGAACTCTTTGGCCCTTCTGGTTCGTCGTCGTCGTCATACATGGCGGAAAAATGGCTTTTTTCCCGGAAGACTACGGATAAAATAAAATTACTCACAACACGACAAAACTGTAAATATGGCCCCTTGACTGTTCTTGCTTGTCGTTAAGGGAGGGTTGCTAAGTAGAACCCAGTACTTTTCCTCTACAACAACAACCGCTGTACAGTGTTTTTGTGTTTAGAAAACCTTTGTCGACAGTGGTCGAGGTACTTTCTACAAATGAAAACAAAAGATTAGTTTTGATTTGACAAGTGCTCATTTGACGTAAGGTTAAGTATTCTCGTTACTGTCTTTCTATGGATATAATAGAGAGAAATTATATGTTAACCACGGCTGGGGGTTAGTAGGGTTATTTAAAAGTAATATACGCTTTTTTGATCTCACTACTCCCTACTGCAATTTATTTTGTGGAAAAGAAAAACATAAAAAAAATTTTGTTATGTGTCATGGGCAATTTTAATTTGTTTAAACGAATGTTTTTCCTTATTTAGAATTTCATTTCCCTGAGGGTTTTATTGGAAAATGACTAATTCAAGCCTTTCGGGAAAAGAAAAATTACCGTCAATACAGCTGACATTTAACAAAAAAGTGCAAACAAGATTTTCATTAAAAACTAAATGAAAGTGAGGGACAAAAAAAAATTAAAACGTTTTTATCGTAGATATGATAATCTCTACGGACATCTTTTTATGATCATTTCTTACGCATCACACTATTCGGGGTTTTCATTTATTTGTTGCGTGTTTAGATGCATTAGCAACAAAGTGTTACATTTATTTCCGGGCCCAACTGGAAGAAATTGTAAAAAATTTCCTGGGCCAATCCAGAATTTTCTCCATATATGAGCAGACGATGACGTAGCTGATCGCTAGACCAATCAAATTACAAAACCTATTTGATGGAGATTGTTTGTTGTCGAATGTAGTTTTAGGTATCCAAACTTTGTGTACTGTATCTGGAATAACTTCAATCAGAGGTAACAAGACAATGTGGAGATACCGATGTTTGTTGGAAGAGTCTCCGTTGACACAAACTACCTGTCTGTGATGATGTAGTTGGCGGTGTTGTGGAAGGAAGACGCTTGTACTCGCGGACATCGCGTTGTCGAGAACGTACGCGAAGCTCCTGAGAGCTATCATGGGTAACATTCACTGCTGTGTCCTTCCTTCACCTCGTGGTGGACCTGCAGTGAAAAACGAACCCTATGATAGAACAGGGCATGCCAACGAGACGTTCGAACTACCGCACATTAGCGATAGAGAAGGTAGCGGCGAGCAAATTGTTTGTGAAAGGGCAAGAGGTTATAGTAATTGCATGCTCGGCGAAGCGAATTGGATGATTGATGTTTTTTCGTCTAATTTCTTCTCAGATCTATCAAACCACAAAGGAACCTTATTTTTACATCGATCCCTCTCCAATCCAGGTAAGATAAATGACGGTTGATTTTGCATGTTCTTGATTTTATAACTAGGGTGAAACACAATTCGATCATCTTTGAGTCACATGTTTGTGTTCTGTTCGAATGTATAAGATACTAGCAACCTTAACTCCTGTCTTGCATAAGGAACAAGTCTTCTCTAAAACTTGCTTCGATTTTCCTTCAAAACACACCAGAGTTGCCATCACCCGATTTGTGAAAGTACGACTCAAAAAATTGTCGTCTGTGTAATTCAGAATTTTTGATAACAGTATTTAATTTATCTTGTGACCTACGTTTCCATGTTTTGGATTAACATCACACTACAATTTAATTTACAAAAGGAGATTTCAAGGTGATTCAAAAGTAATTTGTGTCAACGTTCTACGGATCACGCAACTGGATCTTTTGGAGATCCGTGAGATTAAAATCCAATATCTTGGTCAACTGATCTGACCTGTTGTCTACACCACACATGTGATCCGTGACAACGCGAAATATGTTCTTAAATTCCCTCGAAAAGCCCTTGATTATTGTTTTCCTGTGTAAATTTCTTGATGATGAGTCTTTCTTTTTTTCCTTATGGAAAGGTATGGTATATAATTTTGTAGGGAATTTTTGTCTGCACCGAATCAAAATCTCAAGATTCAGACAATAGGCTAAACTAACTAACCACACCTGACTTGTTAGGTTATCGTCTTTGGTTGTAAATCTACTTAACCCTTTAAACCCAAAGAGTGACCAGTATTTTATTTCATCTAACTTTAATATTTCCGAATCACTCAGTAAGATAATTAGAATAAAGGAAATAATTTCCAACCTAGGAAGCTACAATGGTTGACCTTTAACTCCCAGAAGTGATTTACATGTACCTTCTCCCAACAATATCCATACACTGTCCAACAAACAGGTTATGAGAATACTCAAACTTATCAGTAAGAATTTGTTATCATGATATAACACCAAATTCTTGTAACTGAATTACAAGGAAATGTGTAACAGCTAGATGGGAGAATGAACAACCAAATGTTGGGAGTGAAAGGGTTAAACAGATTCCCCCCTGTCAGTATCAAAGGAAATGTATAAAGAAGAGCATAGAGATATTCATGCTGGGATGTAAAGGATTAAAGCTAATTCTCCTGGAAAAGTTTCTCTTGTGATTTTAAGAAAAGCAACATGTGATTTTCTGTTTAAAAATGACTGCTGCGAAGACTCGCCATAAAATTTTTAAATATGGTGACATTTTTCATGACCATCACAGTGTCAAATTTAAGTTGTAAGTTGATTCCATGTAATGGCTATCTCTGTAAATCAACCCTTAAATTCTTGGGAATGATGCATTTTTGGCAAAGCCACATTTATCCCAGATGTGATGGCTGATATATACAGTGTGGATGGAAGATGAAAGTCTGAAGTCCAATGAGCCTACTGGGATCCTATTTATTTGTGAGGAAAGTTGCTCATGTAACTTTCAGGAGGACTTTCAGAGAGGTTGTTTGAATCCTGTTTGAACACCCTGTGGAAAACCTTGCATACATCTTCAAATGCAACAGTAGTGAACTATGGTTCCCAATCTGAGTGACAGTGAACAGCAGAGGTATTGAGATGCTGCACTTCCTGAGTATCCCTCTAACTCCCAAGATCTGGTTGTGAATTCTCCTTCCTAGCTGCCACACATTTCCTTGTAAATTAGTTAGGAGAATTTGATGTTAGATAAAGATAACAATTTCTTCCTGAAAAGAATGAGTATTCTTGCTACTTGTTTGCTGGATAATGTACAGAATGATATTATAGAGAAAAGTGACGTGTTAATCACTTCTAAGAGTGTATAGGGTTATTTATAATTAATAAATGCTTTTTTGTTATCACTAACCCCTACTGCAATGCCCATGGTCATATTTATGACCAGTTATACTGGTCATGATGATACTTCTGATAAGATTATTAAACTAAGTATAATTTTCATTATTACAATGAGATTGATTAGATTGGATATAAACTAAATGTAATTTTTTTATTCTAAGGTAACAACGGTATGTTTCCTGGAAGACGTACATTTTCAACAGGAAGTGATTCAAGGAAGAGAAATGGGATGGGGGTAAGATTAGATATGTCCAGTATAAATGCATTATCCCAAAGGTTGATTAGAAAAGGATGCTTTAAATCCAGGCTTATTTATAGCCCTTGTTACCTATGAATGAAGTTATCTATCTATACAGTTTTTTTTGTTCATAAATGACCCCTTTTTTGAGGAGATGTTAATTTATAATCGGTGTAAAGTTAAAAATGTAGCTGATTGCCTCATTCAGCTAATGCTCACTTTTTACTGCACCAAGAGCATGGCGTAGGCTATGAGTAAGTGCACTTGAATCTGGGTCAAGCTGCACA